TGGCCAGTGGCAATTATTTTTTAATAGGCTTTTCCTCCTAAACAAGTGTACTCTAAAAGGAATGCCTAAGAGATAATCAAATGAATTAACAACAAATACTTAAAACATTTTTTGGATACTTAAAGGAATGTAAAGAGCCCTTGCTATGATGAAACTTATTTAACTCTACATTTTAGTAATGAAGCAGTAACTTATTTAAACAATTTATACAAGGTGTCCCCCCCCCAAAAAATACGGTATACATACTTTAACAGCTGATAGCTCAGGTTTGAAAATGAAATGTATTTTAACAAACACTGCCTTTATACTTATTTATATACAGGGTGTCCCCAAAATGTATGTTTTCCTGGGACACCCTATATTTTAAATACTAATCTTTTGTTGGCTATGTGGTTAGCAAATATTTTCTCCCACTCTGTAGCTTGTCTTTCATTCTCTAACAGTGTCTTTTGCAGAGCAAAAGTTTTAAATTTGATGAAGTTAAGTGTGTGTGTTTACGTGTCCCCAAGACCACGCTTAGTCTTAGTGATTTGCTAGAAGGAATCACAGAACTCAGAAAAGCTGTTGTACTAATGGTTATGATTTGTTACAGCAAAAAGATACAGATATCAGTCAGCAATAAAAATAGAAGGTAAAGGGCCGGGTCCAGGAGACAACAGTTTGGTCTCTCCCAGTGAAGTTGCGTGGACAGTGTTTTACTCTCCCAGCAATGATGAATTATGCCCATACGGAGCATTGCTAGGCAAAGTCACCTCGTTCTTGCTGGATGATGGTGCATATCCAGATGATTAGGCCTCCTCTGACATAACCTGAGTGTGTGCATGGTGAGGGTGGGGGACTTTATACCTAAGAGAGATGGACGTTTTGTTTCCCTACTTGACCTTCTTTGTTACAGATTGGTAAGGTTCGAAGTCCAGGCTCCCTACTTGGCTTTTGTTGGCATGGGTGGAGGAAGGGCTACAGTTTTTCTTTTGGCTGTTGTCTGGAGAAGAGTAGCTACTGTCTGAAAATTTTCAGTCTTGTTAGGCTGCTTCTTTGGTCCATTGATGCCGGGGTCCAACCCCAGCGGGTCCAGGGTTCCCCAAAGGTATGGACGGAGTCGGCGAAGAAGGAATGACATGGAGACAGCGTTCAGTTGATCAGCAGCCTTGCCAGGATCTCTAGCCACAATCTCCAGCCAAGTTCTGTGTCCATGTTTGTAGGTTCTGTCTTCTAAGTTCTGTCTTCTAAAATTTGTGTTCTAAGTTCTGTCCCTAAGTTCTGTCTCCTGTTGTCTTGTTGCATCTGTATTTATACCAGTTGATTCTAATCCTATCCATCTGTATTCCAAAGGTTAGGGTGTTTCTTATCTCCATTCCAGAGAGTAAAGATTATGTACTTAAGCATGATTGTTCGTAGTTAAAGTGATTAATTACCCGCCTGGCAGTTAAGAGGTTTTATTCCCTCCCTAACTTCAGGGGAAAATCCCTACCTGGGGAAACAACCTTTCTCGGAGAGGTGACCTTGGTTAAAACACATAGTGCCAAGAAGGTGAGCAAATATATTAAGAACAGTATGCCATATATGCCAGGTCCCTTGAAACAGCAAGGTTGGACCGGCTCCCAGCACATTGACTAGGGAGAGCAGGTTTTGTTGGGACTTTTCTGGCCGGTGCCTTTTGGTTCCTCAGTGTTGCTGATTTTTTCAGCTTCAGTTCTGGAAGTTATGGGGCAAGAAGAAAACCCAGGGAATTTACCACCGTCTTGTTCCGTGGGTCCTGAGGTTCTTAGCCAATTTGCTGCCTTCTTTCCAACTTTTAAAGTCTGTATTTGTTTTATATTATAATGTCCAGGGCTTTTAGTTGTTCTTAGTGGGAAATATAGGGAAGGGTATCTTTTCCATCTTCTAACAATAATTCTTTATGACCATTAACAAAGTCTTGTTTAACTACTGTCATAACTTTGCTAGCAACTACATAGAATCTTAACTTTATTATGGTCTTGTATCTAATATCAGTTGACTAAAACAGGGGTGGGGAGCCTTTTTTCTGCCAAGGGTCATTTGGATATTTATAACATCATTCGCTTAATGTAATTCACGTAATATAAATTTATGTTGCTACGAAAAATGTTCCTGGATTTATTGAATTTCAAAGTTCTGCCTGTGGTTGCTTTGGCAGGGCAAGACCAAATGATTTCATGGGCCTTATACAACGGCCTGCAGGCTGGACGTTCCCCACCCATGATCTAAAACATACAACTTAAGCCCAGCTGGCATGGCTCAGTGGTTGAGTATTGACCTATGAACCAGGAGGTGATGGTTTGATTTTCGGTCAGGGAACATGCCTGAGGTTATGGGCTTGATCTGCAGTGTGGGGCGTGCAGGAGGCAGCCAGTCAATGATATTCTCTCATCATTGATGTTTCTGTCTCTCTTCCCTGCTCCCTCTCTGAAAAAATACATTAATAAAAATATATGTTAAAAAATAAAAATGTACATTTAAGTTTGGAGGTATAGATCAAAGTACATGGAATAGTTTTTATTTAAATTCTGTGGTGCATTGCTTTAAGTAAAGAGTGCATCTGTGAAGCAAGTCATCCTCAAACAGAATGTTACTGTCTCGTTAGACCCTCACTGCCCCCTCCCCAAAACCCTTTCTGCTCTTTAGTTCTGTTGGCTGATATTCCAAGTGATGCTCTTTGGACACTGATAAATCCTCTAAGCATCCTGTGACTCATCTGAAAAGTAACTTGCATTCTTTTTTATTTTAATGTTGTATTTTAATTTTTTAAAAACTTAAAATTCATACATGAGTATAAAGTAACTGAACACAAAATATAAATGCACTATGAATTACAGATATACAATTTTATAAGTGACTATTATATAAATAGAGATACTTTTCCTTTCTTCTCTAACCTACAGCTTTTAGAAGTTCATTTTTTCACTTAATAAATACTCAGTTATTACTGTGTTTCAAGAACTGCAGAATTGGAAAGAGCAAAATGGAGGAGAGGATTACATCGGAATCTCAGCAGGATGGGATTTAGAACAGAACAGTATTCTGAAATTGCCATTGGGTGATTTGCTTTTAGCTGTGGTATTTGGAGATTTAAAATACTGCTAAATAAGGGTGTGAGATTTTTACATTTAACAAGAAGTTGAAACACTAATTTAACATTAGCAGCATCACTTTTTTAGCTGTGGTAATTTGTTCATGAGGTGTCAAGTTCCAGGTCGGTAGGAAATAGATCTGTGACATGAGGCTAGATGCATCTGCAAGCCTACCAAATTGTAACATAAGCCACATCAGCAGATCACCAGTTTCTCTTAGGTTTTTCTTTGCCAAGACCTGAAGGCCATG